ATTCTCCTGCTGCCAACACCAGCAGGTGCCAGCATGGTCTGGTGTGTTCATACACTCATTGTGCCCAGTCTCATCCTTGGAGATCCTTCTTTTTGGGTCTGTTGGGTCTTTTTTGTGTTTTGTGTTTTCCCAGACATGCTCCTTCTCCTCCTCCCCACGGTTAAACTTCATTTCCAGACATGCTCCTTCTCCTCCTCCCCACGGTTAAACTTCATTTCCTCTTTCTTGCAGCACTTCCTACACTCCCTGCCCATGTCTCTCTAGCTGGGTTTCCCCCCTGCACACCCAAGGGCAGTGGTGCTTCAAGTATTAATAAAAAAGACCCAAAAAAAGGCCTCACTTCTCTCCATAGGTGGCTGGTCACCCCCCCTGCTCATCACATTCTCTATCTCAGAAGTGTTGCATTGATTAAAATCTTCCTTGCAAACATTCCCCCAACTTCATGAACTAAACTCAAGCTATGGTGGGGCTGGACTAACAGTTTCCCAGCAACCTGACTCACTGAGGGAAGAGCAATTTCTACCACCACATCATGCTTCTGCCTGTTTAAGGAACTGTGCTGGGTGTTCTACACTTCTGCTAACCAAGATGTTTCTCCCTGGGGGCGTGTGGAGCAGGGACAGGACCCAACCAAGGGGCTGCTCTAATACTGCCAACCCAGATGTGGGGCAAAGACCAGATGGTGCCACGAGTGTTTCACAAGCAGAACGTGGCACCTGATGAGGTGAACTCGGTGCAGGAGCTGAAGGTTTCCCCTCTGATTTCCTCAGGCTTGGCAGGGCTGAGCCTCACGTGACGCTCCTGCTGGAGGCACCCACGGTTCAGGAGGGTGGGTACCCATGACTCATGAGCTCTTTTGAAATAGGGTATTTTATTCTCTTCTCCAGGAGTCTTAAAGGAGGAATCTCTTCTGCAAGTGTCTCCAGGTTGGTGGTTCAAGAGAGTGACCTCTCTGCTTCCTGAGGAGGAGCTGGAAAGCATCAATCCAAGGTCCATTTATCAGGAACAGCCCTGGCCCACCTTATCACACTGAAGAAGGGGGTAACCAAACAAGGCTCTGAGATGAGCAACAGGGGCAGGAGTAGGACTGACAGGACTGGTGCCTCCAGTGTCCAGAAAAGGGCAGAGCTCTTGCACCAGGTCCTCCTGGATGCACCTTTCAGTGTGGTGCTCTTCACAAGATCTGGCTGGGCAGCCAGGCTGGGATCCAGAGGAGCATTCATCACACCAGGATGGCATTGATGCTTCAGACTGAGCTCTTCCCCTTGTTATCAGGAAGTCTTTAGGACACCTAGAACTCTTGTAGGGCTTCAGGACACACTGCCTGTTGCACATGAACCCAGGAGACTGCAGACTACCAGGGGCTCTCATGGCAGTAGAGAAGTTGTGTGCTGGCCCACATGACCCAACACCAGGAATGTCCTTTATATTCAAAAAAACCCAAACAAAACCAGGCAGGTTCAGGCCTTCACCTGTTATTACCAGGTATAAACCCCTAACGTAGGGAAGAGCCTCCCTGGGACAACCCCATCAGTATCTTCCCTCATTTATTATTAACCATTTTAAGTGCACTCCCCTTGCCAGATGAGCAATACAAGCAATGAACCAACATCAACAGCTAAGTTATTTCTTCAGGGCTTCATGTAATTTCCATCCTCAGGCAAAAATAGTTATTCACAACCTGAGCTTCCAGTTCCCAACAGACATTCCCAGGCCTTCCCTGCAAAGGCCTTCCCCTCCACTGAAGATGGGATTAGCTCCTCCAAGGGATTATCAGCCACATCCCATGTATCAAGGATGGGAGGACATATGGCTGAGGACACCTATTCTGCATTCATGCTGACCAAAGGTGAACAAGATCCAAAGAGGAGCTAGAGATGAGAGGGGATGGAATCCTCCCCTTCCTGCACATTGTGGACCTGTCTCTTACTCTGCCAGTTTAGGGAAAAAAAAAAAGATAATAAAAGCCTAATTCTAAGCAGTCCAAGGAGTGCCAGAATGATAAGCACCTCTCCAGAAGAGGCCCAAGAGATACTCTTCCAGTAAGTGTCCTAATGCAACAGGAATGGTCTCTGGGCTAATCTCTGGCTCAGAGCAGATCAAGGCTCTGACTCAACACCCCACCCTTATTAGCAAGCCTAATTAAGCACAATCCCTCAGGCAGCAGGGTGCAGAAGCTGGGTGCCCAGAGGCAGTGTTTCTGGTGGCTGACACCTCCAGCAGTGCTGCAGAGCAGCAGGCAGGGAGGGATGTGTGTGTCTACCAGCAGCCACGCGTGAGAAGGAATACAAAGTCTGTTTTGGGAGGAGTTACTCTCCAAATGGCCAGGATGGCTGCAGAAGTAGCCAGAAGAAGGTGGCAAGTAGGAACCTATGGTGTGCTTTAACCCAAAAATGTTGTTCTTCACTGCTCTCAGTATTATTTGTGCCACTGTCACCTCCAAGACCTGGAAGAGGGATGGGATCCCCACCCTGCCAGTGCTGCAGCAACAAAGTCCCTGTCTGAAGAGCTTATACCCAAGTGAGAGGGATGGGAAAAGGGACAAAGCAGGACATGAATAAACACAGCAGCAGTGAGATGGCTGTGAGCAGCATAACCAGACAGAACCAGCCAAGCAAGCATTTTCTTCTCCATACATCAGGTATCTACATTTTCTATTCTCTACATACAGAGATGATGTCTGAGGCAATGTAAAAAAATGATTGTGTAAGTAAACAGAAAATGTCTTGAATGTGTAGGGACAAAGGCAGGTGGGACAGAGTCCTTCCATCTGCAGATTCCCAGGTGGAAAGGATACTCATGTCAAATAAACATCCTGATTTAAACACAGTAAAATATTCTTCCCATCACTGTTAAATTTGATCATTTATCTCTGTCATCAGCCTGTGAGTTACAGATTAGCTCCCAAACAGCAGCCAGTTCATCAGTGCAGGAGTGAGCTTGTTCCTGAATCAAACTGAGCATGGAGCCACTGCTCTTGGAATTCTCTGAGCTCTTTTTGGGTTAAGGCATGAGAAGGGTGGAGGGACACAACAGACAGACATCACTGCTCAAATGCAGACACTGCGTCATGCCCGTGACTCAATCATGATCTGGAGCAGCCCCTGTCATCCCAGCTCTCCAGCCTCCCCTTGCTCCTCCAGCCAGGCTCCCTTTCCAGCTGAAGCACCATCTACCATTTCAGTCGTAAGCAAAACCTGTTCACTGCAGCAAACTGCACAGCAGAGTTTTTGGGCTGAGCTAACCTGCTAATTAAAGGCTGAAATTCCAAGCACACATCTGAAAACCAGTGTCAAGTGAGGGGACATTTTATTACAGCCACTTGTCATAACCCCCTCTGCAGTCCAGCACCAATCAAAAATCTCACAGCATTTCAGGAAAACTCCCACGAAGTCTCGCCAGTGAGAAAACACTCAAAAGTACAATTTTATGGTCACTTCTAGTGAAGTTTTTTATCTGTATCAACTACATTGACTATTGGGGTATGAACCTCAAGCACTCCTCTTGCAGTGAAGCTCTTTTCCTCTCCAAAAGCAGCATCAGGACAGAAAAGCAGGAAT